TATATCAAAACTTGAAGTGCTATGACAGCATTATCAAATCTAATCTCAGGTAATGAAACCATAAAACATCTATTAGAGCATTATTACAAAATACTGGCTTAGTTATTACATTTCATGGTATTATAGATGCATTTAATAACTGTTTAGACTCAGCTGGCGCCATGGCTCACTTGGCTAATCCTCTGCCTGCAGCACCGTAACCCCGGGTTCTAGTCCTGGTTGGGGTGCTGGATTCTGTCCTGGTTGCTCCTCTTCCAGTCCAGCTCTCTGTTGTGGCCTGGGAGGGCAGTGGAGGATGGCCCAAGTGCTTGGGCCCTCACCCGCCTGGGAGACCAGGAGGAAGCACCTGGCTCCTGGCTTCGGATCGGCGCAGCGCCAGCTGTAGCGGCCATTAGGGGAGTGAACCAATGGAAAGAAGACCTTTCTGTCTCTCTCACTGTCTCTCTGTTTCTCTCTCTCACTGTCTAACTCTGCCTGGCCAAAAAAATAAATAAATATTTAGACTGTGTTATATGTTTATTTTTCTTATTTTATGTTAGTATTTTATGACACAAGTCATTTTTGGATATCAGTACCCAATGACTAAGCAATACGAAGTTTGTTTGAAAGATCTCTTATCCCAGTCACAATATTGGCATTTCACAAAGATGGCCTTCATCATACAATAGAATTCAGTCCTTTGAAAAATATATCCATTTTTAAAAGTTGAGGATTTGCCTAAGGTAAATAGGGTGCATTCGGTAGACATTATTGAGTGTTTCTTTTGATTGAAGACACAGCTGTCTCCATTCATTTCACCATGGTCCTAAAACTTACTCAAGAATGTTGCATAAGGGGTTATTATCTCCATTCTAAAAACTGTAGTAATCGTGTTGAGTTATTTAAAACCCACTAAGGATATTTCTCAGAATTCGGACAGGCATGTTCATGAAAAGCTCGTTAAATATGTTTATTGTATTGACATTCTTGTAGAAATCCAGCCCAAAGAACAGGCTTAAATACTTAATCGCTGGGCTTTTCATAATAAGATTCACTCCAGGGTCACTCTGTAAAAATGATTTTGACTTTCAAATTAATTTGAGTTTTTTTATGTAAGATAATGTAGAGTATTCTTTCAATATCTTTAGTTTGAGAATGTTGATGAATGTAGTTCTCTTTTCTTTGCTTGTCAATATTTTTGTTATTATTATCTTGAGTTAGTGACGTCGCCAGGAAGCGAGCAAAGTGCTGGATAGGTAAATCAGACAAAAATAGATGAGGCTCCTCACCTCACAGGGCTTGGAGGAGATGTGGTTCTCTTGCACATTGTGCTACAGGTGCATAGTCACATCTGAGGCAATTGCTTAGCGTATTTATTCACTGAGAAACCATTTACCTCCATGTTTATATATCTGCTTTGCTTATAAATATGATGGTTGTTCTATGTTTCTTTTGTATGCAAACATACTACCAAGTATCCTCTTGTAAAATGAGTGTTTACTGTCTGTACACATCAGTAGCTAGTAATAATTTTAGAAAAAATGCAGAACATCTTATGATTTATGAATATCTTCCCATTTTTGTCATCTCACAACAAAGCAGGATGACAAGGTTTTATTTGCAGGAAAACCAGGTGTCAGAGATTACAGGTGACTTGTCTAAGGTGATTCATCCTTGTGCATTGATCAGGACTCAAATGGATGGTATTATCTCTAGAGTTTCCACCTAATTCATCAAAAGTCACCTGCAAAGATTTTGTAAACACTTACTAGAAAATACTTACAATGCTTTTTAGCTTTATGAAATGTAACATACCATTAAAAACACTAAAATACTGGCATGAATATGAATGTTGTGAGAAAAACAGTTTCTTCTACTTTATTTTTTAAACAGGTAAAACTCATTGTTCCTGTGATCACATTAGTCGATTTATTTTCTTGGTGTTCACAGCACTATTTCACAGATATTAGCTGGCTTGAATATGTACCAGCAGAAAGTGAACTGCAACCTTTAATAGCAATTCAAACTTCACTTAATTTACACAGCCAGACCTTCTGTGCTTAAATCTCTCCTTTTTCATGTGTGTTCTAGTAACTTGCATGTCTTTTATAGTCATTCTATCAGATGATGTTACTTTTCTCTATTTCTGTTTTGTATGCCCATCATGCACTTAATTTTATTTGCTTTGAAAATTTCTGTTCTATTCAATACAGGTTTTGGGATGTGAGAATTCAGATTACATCTATATGTCAAAGTAACAAACAAACAAAATACATCAGTATGTTGGGTATTTGACCCAGCTGTTAAGTCATTGCTTGGGAAGTCCACATTCCACATCAGAGTGCTTGGGTTTGAGTTCCTGCTCCATACCCAATTCCAATTTCCTGTTAATGCACTCTCCAGGAAGTAAAAAATGATGACTCAAGTAGTTAAACACATGCCACCAGCATGGAAGACCTGGATTGAGTTCCCAGATCTAGCTTTGACCTGGCCTATCTCTGGCTGTGTGGGGTGAATAAATGGATGGGAATTCTGTCTCTCTTCTTCTTTTTACTTTCTCTCCCTCTCTCCCTCAAATAAGCAAATAAAAGTTTAATAAAAAAAATCAGTAGACCAGTGAGAAATACAACTATATGTCACGTAGCCAATATGAATTTTATTTTTTAAAGCCTGAATAAAGAATGTGTTGATTTTAATAGAAATTATATATTATATGAATTTAGTAAATTCCATTCAAACATCAATATATCTGTTAATATTTATGTAATATTAAAATATAAATGAATATTTAATTCTTAAACACAGTGTGATTTTAAATTTAAAGAGAAATAATGGAGCAAACTAATTCTGTAAATTAAAAAAGCTTATAGTATAATGAGGAACATCAACTGCTTACCTCTTTACAAATCTGTGCTTTTATCCATTCAACAGAAATTTATTGTCTTAACAATAAATAGAACCAATAATGCACTATTAAACAATCTTCATTGGAAGTAATGGACATTTCCTTAAAATATAAATAAGATAATTTCATATTGTGATAACTGCTTGTAGGAAATAAATAAAAAGGTAAGTTGGAGCATTGGTCTAGGTAGCCACTCTGCATGGACTGCTGGGGAAGGTCTTCTTGGAGGAGGTGACATTAGAACTGCAGGGCCAAAGGGATGGTTCTGTGAAGACCAAGATGAACTACCATCTAGGCAGAGAAACAAATGTAAGGAGTGGAAGAGATGGGACAGCCACACCAGGGATTTGGCACTGGGAAGGAAGAAAGGCACAGGATCTTCAAGGCAGAGCAGGTCACAGCTTGAACTTTGGATTTTAATGGAGAAGCCACCTAAAAAATTTAAGCAGAGAGGTGATACAATCTACTTTGTGATTTTGTGAGGATAATAGTAGGGAGATCAAGATATGCAGTGACTCGGATGTGACGCAATGGAGACATAGATTCAGAGGGAAGTGGTAGGAATGGAAATGCAATGAGGTAGAGGAGCCAAAAAGGACTTACTAAAGAAAGAAAGGAATAGGGTGTACATCAGCTCCAGGATACCCACATAGTGTAAAAAAAAAATCAACATAGCATAGAACGTAATTAATGAGGCACAAGGTGTTGGCTCCAATACTTGGGTCTCTATCACTCCTGTATGAGATCTGGGAGGAGTTCCTGGCTCCTGACTTCAGGCTAGCCTAGCCCCAGCTGCTGTGGGTGTTTGGAGAGTGAGCCTGCAAATGGGAGATCTCTCTCCATCTCTCTCTTTCATGCACACACACACACATACACACACACATTCTGCCTTTCAGATAAACAAATGAACTTCAGAAACTCAAAGTAGAAGTCAAATGAAAGAGGCAAGAACTGCTTGTGTTAATTATATGCTTCCACCATACAACAGCGAATTGAAACTCTCAAACCTAACTCAGTAATTCTGTAGACTCTGTTCCCTTAAATTACTGCCAGAGCGCCTCTCTAACTGTGGGCTATATCTCCCAACTAGAATCACCTTTTTTCCTCTGTTTCCAGCACAGAGAGTACCTCTCACAGTGGAGGACACCTAAATTTGTCAAATTCAAAATTAGTAATTTATACTCTTAGATTTCTTTGGTAGATATATATTTTTAAAAAACCTACTCTTTGCTAGGCACTCTGTTAGATGCCTTACCACAGTTCGTTAATTACACCTACATTTGATGTATTAAAGAATGAGTGTTCTTTTATGACCTTATGCTGCTTCATTGATCAGAAAACATAATGATGAATCATTTAGAATTATTTGCTTTTGGATTCTAGAAGATTTTGTGTAGAGAGATTAGTGGGGGAAAATATCCTGAAAAAAAAAAAAGACAAAAACAAATTTAAAAGACAGATTATTTTCTCCTTGATAAAATAATAAAGGTGTCAGTGCTCTAAATAAATAGGATGAAACTCTCTTACAATTCATAGGAATATCAAATTATATATAACGGAATGAATCAAGTGCTAGATAAAAGATGCCTATGTGTTGTACAGCATACTCAGCATGTTACGCTGTGTACAGAAAGGTAAAAAATGAAGATTAAGTTCAGATTGAGATTGATAGGTCAACTTTTAGGGTTTTGAGAAAGGAAGTAGAAAATTAATGTGAAAGGAAGAGGAATATTCTAGTGTTCTTAGTCACCTGCAATGCTCACAAAATAGAACAGTACCCACCCACTTGCCACGCCTCCATAGCTGTCTGTAAAACATTCTGGAAACATGGGCATGATGGGCATGGCCTATCTAACAAACACTCTCACATGATTTTGGTACAAATAGTTCATGGACTATACTTTGGAAAATAGCAATTTAGTCCAGTCTCTTTATTTTGCACATCAACATAAGATTTGTAAAGGAAAATGGTTATCCAAAGTTACAGTACTATTTTGATAGGGTTTAGGCTAAGACACATTCTCCTAGAAGCCCAGTTTTTCTTCATTACTTGGATTTAAATGGTAAACTCCAGCCGTGGACCTGCTAACACGTATCATTGCTATTTCTCTACCAGAATCACGACCACAGCGGCCTGCATGATGGACCTAAGGCGGTACCCACTGGATGAACAAAACTGCACCTTGGAAATAGAAAGCTGTAAGTCTTTTTTTAGAATCCAGCTGGATGGAGTTTTGCTGTAAGCTTTTCCTTAGACAGACGGCTGGTTCTTGTCTAGACCAAAGCTTGTGCTAGCACCTTGAATTTTGAGGAGTGAGGTACTGGTATCCCTCAGAAATAGTTCAAACTCAGTCTTTTTGCTAGACCTTCGGCAGAAATGTTTATAGAAGAAGTAATCTGGTAATAAAAGATTTCTAAGAATCTGAAAAGAGATGCAGGACAGTTCTAGGCATGTAAAGTATGGAATTTGTGAAAACAGTTCCAACAGATTTGGAAAAATAGGTGGAGGTGGAAAGTATAACATATTCTAACAGCCTTTGTCTTTCATAAATGAAATTTGTCATTGCAAAATAAATTTACCTATTCATAGGTTTTGGATTAGTCAGTTTTTTTTGTTTGTTTGTTTGTTTTGTGGTTTTTTTTTTTTTTTTTTTTTTGGTTTGAGGGACTAAAGTTTATATTTTTGCTGAAGGCTGTATAATGAGCAAGATTAGTACAGGAGCATGTGCACTTACTCCACTACTATGCTGACCTGTTTTGCAATGTGGTTGCTTTTCTAGACTGGTTTTAGTGTCCATATTGATTCAGTCACCTACTCTGTGGAATGGGCTGAATTGCTAATTCCATAACTGATCTCCATTTCAGGGTCCAACACAGAGGTGGTTCACAATGGCAGAACATTTTGAATCTCTCTTTATTTGTCGGTTATTTGCATTGTTTTCATAACTTACCCTACCAAATAATTGTAATTGACAGTTTTATTTCCAACATTTTTAGCAATAAGTAACTGGACAGCTGTTAGTATACGCTTGGCGTTTCTGAGAAATTTTAGCTGTGGCATGCCACATGCATCTAAATAACTGCTCTGAGCAGAAACACAGCACTTATGACACATTGTAGGAATTTTTGCCCATTTCAAAAGATACCATGTAGGGATAATTAAACTTACATACATTTTTGAAGAAACTGTTCACTTCTATTCTAAATCATTATTTTCAATCTAGATCTTTGCCTTACAGGACTTTTTAGTGAAATTGCTTTATTGGATTTCAATGATTAATTTTATGTAAATATCTTTAGGATTACTTGTACGTTCATTTTCTTAACTCATGGTATATGTAGACTGCATAATGTTTTTCTTTAAAGTCTAAATTCTTTGTTACTTTCAAGTTGCTGATGCAAGTTTTATGGTCATAAGTATCTCAATTTTTATTCCAACTTCTTGCCCCCACAGAGATAAGAATTTAAAGCAGAGCCATAAATAGAGCACACAAGTGAGAGCTGGATTTATTTAAAAGAGAGAGAGTGAATATACACTCATGCATGAGTGTGGGCAACCCCATATGGAGAGAGAACCACTGTGAGTGGGCCAGAGAGCATGGGAGGAGAGCAGAGAAGGACACAAAATCAAGGTCCAGAAACCAAAAAGCACCAAAGGGCCACTTGATCTTGTTTCAGTCTCTTATGAGGTGGGAAGTAAATAAGCAAACAGGGTGGAGTTGGGTATATATGAGACTTTCTGGGAGCTTCAAGGCACTTCCATACAGAGCTTTACTTCCACTCGGTCATTATAGTATATCCTCCTTCCTGGTCTCAGATGAGACAGGTACATCATGGCAAAGTAGGCACATGGGATTGACGGTTAAAGGGTGGAATTACAATGCCAGGCTCATATAAATTGTTATTCCAGCTCACCTATTCTTATTTAATCTTCCCACATAGTTCTCCCATATTATAAGAATATTTTGAACAATATATTGTTCCTGTGCAACATGAATGTTAGTGATTAGAACATTTTTCAAGGTAAAATTTTACTGGGCTTTTAAAACACCATAGTTGTATGGAAATGAAGCACATTCACTGATGTTTCTTCATTTGAGCCTTACTCAACCTGCTCAGATAAACAAACAAGGTCTTTTTATTTTGAAGAAGTTGTGCCTAAGGACATAGACAACATCCAGGTGTTTCTTGTTAATAAGGTGTAATTTTGACATGAATATTAAAAATTAACATGATAATCCATTAGCCTTTACATAGCTCATTTCAGTTCATAGTTACTGTATTACAATGAGTTAGATATTAATATTCCCTTCTTTACAGTTAGAGGAACAGCATAAAAAATGATTGATTCAAGTTCATACAGCCACATAGTGGCACAGTAGCTCTGTTGGTATCTGACTTACCTTAGTAGAGACACTGATATTGGAGGGACAAGGTCAACAGACCTCTGTTCTCATGGAAATAATCTTTTCTTAAGGGAAATTGGCCCTTACTCATATTCAGTGAGACAGAAAATCATTGCTATAGAGAATGAAGTATGGTATTAATAATATGTGTTATATCCAGACCCTGTTATTATGCATAGGAAGTTCATCAGGCATGTTCAAATAAACTTATCATTCTATCCATTAAACAGGTTGTTCTGATTATCCACCTTATTCATTCACTCCATTCCTTTAGGAAAACTCTAGTCATTTGTTCATTCCCATTCTTTCTTTCTGTGGCCTCTTCTCTTCCTTTCCCCCGTCCACACTCCCTTTCTCAACTGCAAATGACATTGCTAAATCTTCAACACCTTGTCCACATGTCAACACTAACTATTGGTTCAGATTCAGAGAGGACAATATAAACTGATTTTAGGCAGCTCAGAGCAGGGAAAATGAAGACTGAGCTCATTTCTTATTCATTCATTTAATAATTTACTCATTCACTAAATATTTATGGAGCACTAATTATTTACCAAGCATTATAATGTACTCTAGAGATAAAATGGTGAGCAATACATCTACCCTCTTCTGTCATAAAGGCCACGGATATGATTTGAATAAATATATATTAATATAAAAAGTGTAATAGTGAGTAGTCCTGCTAAGGTAAAGCAGTTAGATTTATCAGGTCTTAAAGGATGTTTAAAGCAAGGCCTGAAGTAGAGTGCTGAGGATGCTAGAAGATCAGTGAGAATTACTGCTTATTTCATAACTTTTCTTAAATTTAGAGTGATGGAGACTTGGCTAGAACTGATGAGATTTGGAGAATTAAATGGTCTCTATTATATTGATGACTATGTAGACCACAAAAGTTAACTGCCAGAATAGAAAGGAGAAACCCATTCCCAGGTGTTTCCAGTCCTGTATCTTAAACCCTGTCTCTTTTGCCACCGTGTTGCTGTTATCTGCATAGTCAGATAACATGTTGTGTCTACATAGCATTTGTATCTATGGTCTCTACTTTGTCTATGTCTTCTCTTCTCTGTAATGTTGTGTCTACATAGCATTTGTATCTATGGTCTCTACTTTGTCTATGTCTTCTCTTCTCTGTAATTTTCAGTCACTTTGGGAAAGGGACACTGGTATATTTGCTGATTTCTTTTTAGGAAATGTCACCCTGAAAGCACCAGTTAACAAACTTACGCACTAGCCTATATTAACCAAGTTCTTTTGAGCTTTCTTGAAATTGAGGAATGAATTCTAGTTCAGAGATGATGAATTGTCCTGGCTGTGCCAATGCCTTGGAAATCCGATACTGCCAAATATAGTTTAAGACTGTTAATACAAGCAAATATATCTTTCTTTTTACAAATATATAAAATTCAAGTCATGTTATGATGAGGACACAGCATTCTGTTATACTGCAAGGCCACTTAACATGTCACTTCCAGAAATGAAAATAAGGAAAGCAGGAGGAGGCAGTATTATGTACCTTTGAAATGGGAATAGTCAGTTCCATAACGGTTGCTCTGTTAGATTCTGGGCCATCTGATTAATTACAGTGTGGGCTATATGGCCTCGTAGTGATGCCTCCCTCACTCAGAAGAGCAATGCTGCCTGAGACAGCCTTCAACCCTGATTCCAAATTCTGCATGTGGGACATTTGAACTGCTGTCTGAAAGGGAACATGGAATTCATTCAACCAGACCCATTGGTAGCCTGCTCAAGTTATTATCTAATACTGTCTCTCCCGGACCACAATTGGCCTGCCCAGTGTCTCATTCTCAACATTGTTGCTTTGTTGGTTAATCTCAGCCTTAGTGGGATGGACAGATAGTGAGAAGGTACAGAATTTTCTCAGCAGCTGTTTCATGGGCAACTTCACAGGGCTATAGCAGGTGAGCAAACAGCCGTTCAGGCATATCCTTTTAAAAAGATCTAACAACAGCAAAATTCCCACACTCTGAACTTTGCAAGAGCATCAGAAATCATTCTTGCTGGCCTCTCAAAGTCACTGCTTCCTGAGTCATACTGAGCCTCAGTGCCCTGGTGCATAGAATGGAAATAAAGTTGCCTATCACATGAGGTTGTTGAGGATTAAATAAAATATCGTAGAGAACAAATCTAGTAATTAATAATATTTATTGCTACTTTTGATTACTAAAAATCTCATACTGCTACAGATTTCTACTGGTCTTGAGAGCTAGTAAATCCGTTTACAGAGAGCCCGGGGCTCAGCATCGCCCTCCCCACCTGGAATATTGTTTTCAATTAGAGTCACAACATTTTAGAGGGACAGCTAGCAATCAGAATGACTGAAATTTGAATGATACATAAGCCATGGATTTTAAAGAACCAGTAGGATAAACTGGAGTTGGGGTTGGAAAGTCACATTTGCCTTGAAGAAGGGAGAGTTAAGCTGGGAGACTAGTCGTGTTTGAACAGAATAGATACTTTGAAATAACAACAGAATTTCCTCTTAAGAGATAAGACTATATCTGACCTAAGGATAAAAGTACACTATTGGCAAAAGATGCCAAAAGGCAATTTGGAACTGAAAAATTTAAAAAAAAGACAGAAAATTCCATAGCAGTTCCAGCTTGTAAAAAATCAGATGAGATTTTACATTCTGTAAGACCATTTTCTGGGAGAGGAGGAATTATTTCCTGGGGAAAGTGAGGAGATTAGCTAATTCTGAGTAGCTGTGACATGAGGGGTAGTTGGCACCAGCAATATGTTCAGTTTTAGTTGAAGGACAATTAGGCAAGCAGT